CTCTCTCTCTCTCTCTAGCTCTCTCTAGAGAAGCTTGCGCATGCACTACTACATGCACTTGCATGCCTGCAGAAAAAGACATCAGCCACAACAAACTTCCACGTGCCCCTCAATCATGTGTTGCAAGCAGAATCAAGCTCAGCGAATGCAAGTCAACAAGAGGCGACAGAATGAAGAGTAAAGGAACAAAGCAAACTTTTACCTCCAGACCCCTGCCTTCCGCTTGCCAAGGTCGCTTGAGCCCCCTGTCGTCCGCGTCTCGAATTGATTTCGGTAGTGGGTGTCCTTAGCCAGATTCGGGGAACGTCTCGCAATCTACAACGGCGGGCTGCCAGAGCACAGACTGAACAAAGCCATGCGAGTTTGACGTCTTCGACTCGACTGGGCAATCGACCGCTTGAAAGCACGACACGTACTTCACCAAGTCGACATGGATCACGATGGGTGCCTGCCACTGGAAATACGACGGTTGCCTCATGTCTTGCGGTTTTGGGGGGGAGATTGAGCAGAATGGACAACAGGCTCGTGCTGTCGCGTTCTTGCGTCGTTCTTAAATTACCTAACCACCTCGTTTGCTCAATGCTGCTGCTGAGCACTGGTATTGTGCCCAGCTGTGTGCGCGTGCACCTTGCCAACTATACCCATGGCAATACAACCTCCGTGAATCATTGACTGTGAGACCTGGGCTACTCTGGGTGCATGTGCATGGCCACTAGTTTGTACCCTGGCCGGCTGACTAGTTACCAGACTCTGTAACACCAAGATCAAGTAGTCTGTGGTCGAGCTCCGAGGCAGGACATGCCTCGTCCCTGATGTAAGCGAGGACTTTAGTCAGCGTGTCCTTGCTGTAGCCCCACCTCAGCTTCATAAACTGATCGTGTAAGACAGGCTCTGTCGCCACGAACTCTATTCACTAACTGCAGCTGTCCGAACTGCAAATCGGTCTATCCTGACAACCATGTTGTCAACTGGGTTCTAGATTCTAGATCCTCCGGAACCTCGGTTGAACACAGAACGTGAACAAAGAACATTGCTAACCAAGTAACTTCGAGAGGCGCCTGCCGTGGCGACAGTTCGAGGGTGCAGAATAAGCTGAGCTCTCAGAAAGACTTCGAAACTTGGGTCAACGAACCACGGGCATGATGCTTTAGGGACTGCTTGAAGTGTAGATGGAAGCATCGGGGTTTGCCTAGCCTACGGTTAAACACATGCCTCGTGTGCAATATGTTCCGCAAGGAAAGAGCTTTGCCCGGCTTCGGCCACTAGACTAAACGTTTTTCTCAAGAGAAGATCTCCGGCATGAAAACCCAATGCACAGGCACGCCACGTTCTTACAAAAACACAAACGGCATGGAGCTGAATTGGATCTTGAACGGCTCCGCTTTCCGCGCTCAGCAGCGACCGCAAGAAGAGAACACAACAATGGACACAGCAACAACAGCAACAACAACAACAACGACAACAGCGACAACAACAACAACAACAACAACAACAATAACTACTGCAACTGTAACACACTGTTCTGCTACCGACTGTTCCGACGACACGAGGCATTCAAAGTGTTCTGACTTGGTGAATATGCGGAATTCGGTTGGGTGTTGCTTAACGCATTTCCTGCGCTTTGGCGTGCCGCTGTTGCCTTTCCATTTCAAAGTTGGGGCTTGCAAACTCCTCCGATGCAACAAAAGGCTGGCTCTTGTCGCGGCAGGTGCTCTGCAGCTTCGATGAGAACACAAACAGTACGCGATGTGGATTGGGAAGTGCGAAGTACCTCGAAACAGCCTGGGTTAATAATGGTAAGGCCAGTGACACAAGCTTTTTCCAACAAGGCAGCCGTGATTTCTGCACACGTTGACAAGCTCACACCGCCGTCGCAATGTGACTTTCGAGCCAAGCCAGATTACAGCACACAGAACGAGGCAGCTTTGTACAAGAGTATTGGAAAGGCTAACAACCATAAGCATACATCCCAAGGCACTCCTTGACTTCTACTACATTTGTCTGGCGGGCCTCTGCAAGCCAGGCTCTGCATTCTGGCTCTTCGGCCGGGCCATGCTCGCCACATACCTGAGCGCGGAGCAGCTCTATTCCCCGAACACTCCGGAAGCATCTAACAGTTCGTCCGAATGCAAGGCTCCGCCGATCCCTCTGCAGCCGGAACTTTCCGCAGCCTTACCCCCACGAACCCTGCTGACGAGCAGAACCGCTCTGGGAAAAAGGTCGGTGCCTTTAAAAAAACTTCACATCCCGAAAAAAACAGATCACTGAGACCCGAGGACCCTCACTGCTTCGTCAGTCATGCTGTAACAGCCTGTCGCGACCCGCTGAATCCTAGTACAGATTTCTACCAAAGCTCCAAGATGGAACAAAACTGCAGCCAGCTGAACAAGAGAAAAGAGCTTCTGTATCCCGTCGGATGCCAGGATGCTGGACAGCCTTGGTCTGCTGCTCCGTAAGAACATTCGCGGCATCCAGCTCCCTGGCGAAGAGAACGCCGAGCTCTCAGTCACAAGCTGCAAGCATGCCCCTTTAGGGCCCCTTCATGCCCAGGACCACGGGAAGTTCCAAACTCGTTATTAAGCTCGTTCAAGACACCTTGCAATGCAAAGTTAAACCAGCGAGGTCACTCCCATGCTGCTGACTGAAACTGTCCGCTGATCTCACTTCTCAATGACTTTTCGATTGCAGCACTCCTGCAGCAATCCTTTCTCCGAATGCTGGATACCGTCAGTCACCCCAAACCACAAACAACAAAACAAAGCTGCAGTCCCAAGAGCCACTAATTACGCATTACTCATAATCATTAGGCATATTTACTCTGCGAACACTACAACCCGAATCCTTTTGCATCGAATTCTAAAATCCTAATTTACCCGAATGTGCCAATTCATGCAGAACCTGGGAGCGCTGAGCTGCGAGGTGGGCAGGAGGGCCTGGCAGGTTCTCTGGCACCCATTTTTCTTGCATCTGGTTTGCAGCGACTCAACCAGCGGCACCCTTGAATACAAAAACTGGCAAGCGGACACCAATACAAGTAATCACGCATGCACAAGCGTAATTGCATCAACACAGGCTTGCCCCCAGCCACGCTAGCATTGCTAAGTTTTGCTGGGATCTAGGAAGTGGAGCCGCTGTGTCTTTAAGTTTCCTTCTCTGGGTCTTCAAGCATTCTCTGGATGGTGGGCTGCAAGGACTGCAAAGTTGCAGCACTATCAGGTGCTCGAGGCACTTTGCAGCTTCAATCCCTGTGCTCTACGGCGTTCAAGGGCCAGCCGTGCCCAATGTTTATCGACCACGACATATTTCATGATACCTGCGTGTTTTCCAAGGCTTGTGCAAGAAATCTATACTCCAAGTTTGCTAAGCCATCAGACGCCATGTGTTTTGCATGCTTCTCCAGAACACCGGCAGAGTTGATAGCGAACTGCGAAACCGTGCATGCGTAGCAAATGTTTCTGTAGGACTGCCCTCTCACATCAAGAGATATGAAAACGATCGGCTCGAAACGGCTGTTTCTTTCCATGCAATTTCAGAGCAA